TCCCCCCCAAGGAGGCCCGGTGCGGACTGGCTGCCCGCCCCCGCCGCCCCAGGCGGGTCCAGGCCACCGCGCCCTTGGGTCCAATCCCTTCTTGGGAAACCATGAGGCCCAGAGCCACCGCGCGGGGTCCGAGGCCCCCAGCCACCCGGCAACCCCTTCAGGCTTCGTCTCGCGATTCCATGCGGGCAGCTGGCCCTTGAAAGGTGCCACCACCCACAGGCTCTCCGCATGGAGGACCGCGGGGGTGGCAGTGCCGGACGGCAGTGCACAGTGCGGGGACGGGACTGAAACGGAAGGTGTGACGGCGCCTTTAGGTCCCGGTTTCACAGGACATTTTCTACAGTTTGACGAGCCACGTGCCACTTCCTGCCACATGACCCTGCCTGAGGCTCCCCTGCAGGACCTGCGCCAGGAGGAAGCCCTTCCTACAAATGACATGTGGCCTCCATTTTGGTCCAGCTCTGCTTTGGGCCCAGTGAAGAGCAAGGGTCTGACCGCGGGGGAGGAGGGTGCAGGGGAGGCAGCATGGGGGGACGGGGTCCCTTGGGACGGACAGAGGCGGGACAGACCCTTGAGCCTGCAGCCCCCGCACCAGGCGCCAGTGTCTGCAGAGTGAAGCTGCTGTGCTGTGCGTGTGGCCCCCGGTGAGGCCCTTCCCGGTGGGGGGAGCCCGCACTGAGGGGCGGACCTCCGGGCGCCCACAGGGTCTCAGCGGGAGCCGCCACCCCAGACCCGCAGATGCTATGCAACTCCTGCAGCTGGATAAGCCAACTCACCCTCGTGAGCGAGAGAACCTTTCAAATAAATGAGAAGGGAGAGACTAAAGCCCTGACATCTATGCCTATACATTTTTTTTTTAATTCCTCACCCAAAGGTGTTTTTCCATTGACTGTTTAGAGAGTGAAAGAGGCAGAGAAACCTCGATTGGTCGCCTCCTGCACGTACCCGCACAGAGCCCTGGCCAGAGAGGAGCCCGCAACCCAGGTCCATGCCCTTGACCGGAATTGAACCCAAGACCCTTCAGTCTGCAGGCTGGCGCTCGATCCACTGAGCCAAATCGGCCAGGGCAAAACCTATGCTTTTTTTAAAAGGCAGAAACAGTAGTCTCCAAAGAAAAGACTTCTTGCAAAACCACCGAGAACAGAGCGTAGACACCACGGCTCATAGGACACCACACGTGACTCACTGACGACATTCACTGCACGTCCAACGGACGCCTGCCCCGTGTGCATGTGCATCTCCAGCTTAAGCATCCATACTGAAACGCTGCTTTATTTCAAGTACATGAATATTTAAATTGCCTGGGTTTAACTAAAAAGAGGCATTCGGGTCCGCACAGACAAGGCTGCCTGGCTGCTCGGCCTGCTCAGGGCCTCCGCTGCGCTCTCCATGCACCTGTGCTGGGCGCCCAGGTTTCGCTTTGTAAGTAACCCACAGTGAGTGATCCCAGGACAACTCCATCTGCTCTCAGAGGTCCTCACCTCCTCAGAAAAGGCTTGCCGAGCAGCACCCCATGAACCAGCTCCCCAGGAAGGGGCTGCTAACAGCCCAGCCCACAACCAGCTCCTTGAAGGGCAGCTGGCGAGTGAGTCCCTCTGGGGAAGGGCCTGCTCGGTGCCCCAGCTCCCACAGTGCCGCTTGAGAAGCCAGTGGAGTACCTGTGACATGAGATGCCTTCCCGGTCGGGGGCTGGCACCTGTTCTCTAAGGGCCAGAAGGTTGGATGTGAGCTGTGCGGCCCCCGGTGTCCCAGCTGCTCCACTTGGCTGCAGCCATAGCCAACGTGGGAAGAAATGAGCCCGATGCCCAATACGACTTCATTTATAGGAGAGGGAGGTCTGCATGTGTGGCAGTCCCTGTCCAGGGCAACGCTAAGATAACCACACGGTTTTTAAAAAGCACGGCGCACGTGCTGGCCATAAAACAAATAGAACCAATGCAAGCGCCTTCCCAGTGAGGCGGTGAGGAGCATGTACTTGGCCGTCTCGTGGTGCCGCTCCTTCACCCTCAGACAGTGAATCACTACAGAGAAGGGGAGGAGACCCCGGAGGGCAGAGCACGGGGGTGTCCTACCTTCTTCTCCAGGGAGTTGCTCCACTCCTTCAGCAGGTTCACGTGCTGCACCGCGGAGCTGGCCTCGTGTGCCTTGATCTGCTGGTTCGTCCCCTGCAGAGCAAAGTGCAGGGCATTAGCCCTCGCCGCCCACGGCAGAGCAGGAAGCCGGAGAAGCTGAACGGGGAGGGGGAGCCTGGCTCCTGGGACGTGACTGACTGCCGTGCCCAGCGGCCCCACGCCGCTGCCAGCGGGCGCACGGGAGGCGGCTCTGAAGTTGTACAGGGATCTCGGGCTCACGGCTTCACTCCTAAGCTGCTCTCACCAAGTGCCTTCTCGGCTGTTTCATACTTACAACATCAAGAAATTGAATTTCAGACATTTTCCTTCCTTTAGAAATTTATTCATTAAAATATAAACGGGTTTGGACAGCTTCAGTTACAGCTAGATACTGATACAGTAATCGAGGGAACATGTAATCAGGTGAGGGATCTGATTCACCAGAACAGTAACTTATCAGTGACATACACTGTAGCGGGAAATGTACTGCTCGCTGTTCTAAGGCTACTTAGGAAGTTACATAGAAACATAAATAAACCAGCTACAGAGTATATAAGATGCAGACCATCTCAGGAACAAGCACAGCAAATAGTGCTTCCATTCTTAAGGAAGTAATTGACAGGAAAATAGAATTTGTTTTGATATTAGAAAATTAAGAAGCCACAGGAAGCATTTTAATGATCTCCAAAACATACACTCTGTACGGAGAATATTCCTATGTGTATGTTGACATAAGTGTTGCTAGATGTCAACATATACATACACAGACACAGAATGAAAGGTACTACACACGACATCACAGGGGCGAGACTCCGTCCCCAGGAGACTGGGGCAGAGAGAAGCTACAGTCCTCTTCATGCTCAGGCTTTCACTTCCTGAGAAAATACTAGGACAGCATGTCTCGGCACTAACTTCATAACGATGTGTGGCTCATACATAAAATTAAATATAAAATACTGTAATAGTAATAGATACTGTCTTTTCAAAGTTTTAATATTAAGATAGACATTTAAATAGAAACTCAGTTCAATTCACTAGCAATCTCAGACGCGTTAAAGAAAATAAAGAGCCGGGCCGCCGTGGCTCAGTGGTTGAGCGCCGACCTATGAACCAGGAGGTCATGTTCAATTCCCGGTCAGGGCACAGGCCTGCGCTGCAGGCTTCATCCCCAGGGAGGGGCGTGCAGAGGCAGCTGATCAATGATTATCTCTCATCATTGATGTTTCTCTCTTTCCTTCACCCTTCCTCTCTGATATCAATAAAAATATATTTAAAAAAATACATATATACTTAAAAAAATAAAGAGTCAGAAACAGGTTTGTCATAGCACAGGTGTGGCAATGACGGAGACATCCTCTCCATGCTGCTGTCCCAGGAGGTATGGCTTATATGCAAAATGCATTTATGAATACACACGTGTGCGACCCTTACCACAGTGCACCGATATGCACACTGCTCACAGCAGCCGGCTGCACACTTACTCAGAAGCGTTACAGCTGCCATCGCCATAACCGTAGCTGCAAGCCCCACCCGCTGTCAGGCCGGTACGACCCACTCACTAGCTGCTTTCAGACGGGAACATCCTGACTTCCTCTTGGCACAGGTGCCCACCTTAACTCTCAAAGCCCCGCCGTCACCCACGCAACAGGGTGATTCGGGTCCATGCAAGGACTCCAAGCCCAGAGGTGGCACGTTACAGTGTTAATGTAATAACTTGCTCCCATGGCAGAACATCAGCGACTGGGAAGGACAGACATCGGATACTGACCTGGAAAACGCAGCCATAGCGCTTAAAACTACAGGTGCTGGGGGCATTGACACACTCTGACAAGTGGGCACTCAACTGCAACGGAAAGAGACGTGAGTTGTGGCACGAACATTCGCATGAAAATGTTCCAACAGGTTAAAGGCACAGGAGCACCAGGCTGCACCGTCACGGCGGCGACTCAGCCACAGGTGTGTCCCGCACCGGCTCCCAGACTCCTCGGCAGTGAGTTCACAGTATTGTCACGTGTGTACACAGATACACCGATATACGGAAATACGTTCGCTGTAGCGTGGCTTAAACTCGAGTTTTCGTTAGGAATGTTCGAAACGTGACCTGCCGTCTGCAGTGCCAGGGATAAGAAAGGAAGAACGTAAACTGAAACGCACATTGAGAGACTGTAAACGAAAAGTGCATGAAACACAAAAAGGAAAGCATCCGGGATGCAACTGGGCCACAACCTCGTACACAGCACAAACACACTTCCCAAGGAGCGGGCGCCGCGGCTGCCGCCTCCGGCCCTTCCCTGACTGCCCTGCGGGGCGCGCACCGCGGTCTCCACAGGCCGCTGCGGCCGGGCTAACAGGATCTGAGCTGTCACCTCTCGCTGATGGGGTCAGAGGACCTGGGAGAGGATGACGATGAAGCTGCAGGTCGGCAACGGTCCACACAAACCACCTACACCTGCGACGCCCCCTCCGGGGCCGAGGGTGCTGGGCCCTGGGCTGACGCAATGTCAGGGCAGTTTCTCCCTTTACTGAAGAAATACATTCTCATCAGGAAACTCCGGGGACAGACCTTTATAGAACAATCAGGACCTATCTGTTGTGGGCCAGGGCAACACCCCCAGTGCCTGTGGGGCGTCACTCTGGTGGGGGCGGCATTGGTCTGCAGGACAAAGCAGGCCCCTCCCTGTAGGTCAGCACTTGGGACAGAGTGGAAAGTGGCCACAGGACTTCTCTCTGTTGCGACTGCGATGAGGAGGGCCGGCACCGAGGGACCCGACCGGCCATGGCCACCTTTGCGGTCTCTGAGCGGGGCAGCCCAGAACACCAGGCTCTTCTGACCCCAGCCTGGAGTCAGGCCTGCACCGAGGGAGCGCCTAGAAGGTCCGTCACAGGGGCCGGCAGAGGTGCCACCTGAGCAACTTAAAGGACCTTCCAAGGCCATCACCGCCGCAGGGAACGAGCAGCCGGCTGTGCTGCGGGAGCAGGGAGCAGAGTCCACGCGATTGTCAGGGCGCCGCCATAAATTCAGGGTCACACTTTTTCCTAAATTGGCTTTATTATCGTCACTCGCAAAGTCTTACAGAATTTGCAGGCACTTTGGAATAGAGGCAAGAATAATCTATTCGCCAATAACACCTTTCACCAGAAACTCAAGGTAAATGCTGGTTGAAAGATTTTTTGAAATAAAAATAACTTCGAAGCAAAATGGAGGAAGCTTTCGTCCCTAATTCAGATAGCCCTGAGTGAGTAAAGACTTAGCAGAGTGTATAAGACCCTGAAATTATTTCAACAACAGACTCTGCATGCGCTCACTTTAACAGAGCGGCTCTCTGGTTGTGGAAATGATCGGTGTGTGTTTCCCCGCTACTCAGAGAGGCACGTTCAGGGCCAGGGACCGGCCACCAGGCAAGACCCTGCCTTCGCCCCACAGTCAACTTGTGCAGGATGCACCTCGAGGGAGAGCGGCTCTTGGGGTCCTCCCCGCACCCCGCGTCTCCCACTCAGTGAGGACCTGAGGGGATGCTCCCCACACTGTCTCCAGTGGTAAAATTCCCGGCGGCCAAAAAGGCTGAGGGGACTTCTCAGAGCAGAGCCCCCAGGACTAAGGGGACACACGCACCCATGGAGCCCACTGAGCCGATGTGAGCCCCAATGGCACCCCAAATGGCAACCAAAGGAGCTCCAGGTCAGGATTGGATACAAAGACATGAAGAACCCTTGGAGTTTTCCATCTGGGTATGTCTGGGTTAGGTGCCTTCCCAGTGACCCCTGACACGCAGCCACTGGCCGGTGGCACTCGCTGCCCACGCCAACCCCGCCAGCAGGCGCGGCCTAAGTGCTCCGGCAGCATCTCTGAACAAATCCATTTCTTGAGATAATCCTACAGTAATTCCTATTTTACTGATTTAAAAACAGCTGCTTTTAAAAATGGCATTTCCTTTGCTTGCACTGAAGCAATCCCGGTTCCTCAATCCTTAGCAACCCTCGTCCCGCACTGACACTGTGGCCTCTGTCGCCTCGGAACCTCCGACCCCCAAGGGCAGCGCGAGGGTTTCTGCTGGGACCTGCAAACCCAGGGTCTCGGAGTCAGGGAGGGTGTCCACGGCGCGCCGTCCTCGGACCCCGGACCAGGCAGCGGCGCCCTTACCTCGCTCCTCAGGAGGGTCTGGACCCTGCACTTGTGCGGGCAGGACACCACCACGCAGGGACAGTCAGTGTCTTCGTGTTTCTGCAGGAGGAAAGGAACCTGTCGTCAGAATGAAACATACAGGACCCGGAGGAGGCACTCGACGTCCGTCCGGATAGGCCCTGACCCCGACCAAGTGCTGGGAGAACGGCCTCACAGGAGCCTGGGCACCCTGACGAGCTACAGCCCTCGTGGGAGCAGTGTGTGCTCTTAGCGGGGCGCCTGTGCCCACAGCGGCAAGGGGAGGTGAGGGCGGGCTGAGACCAGCCCGGGTCCAGCCTTTGCTCTCGGGGAGACGGGTTTTGTCTGGCCTCTCAGTTTGGGGTCTGGAAATGATGCTTCTCAAATGCCAGAACAGCCAGACCTCCTGGGTAGTTAAATGACAGCCCTGGAATCCTACTGAAATTACCTTTAGTGCCTGGAAAATATGGGTAAAGCCTACTTGAGCCCTTCTCTGGATAGCACCAATTTCAGTGCAGGGGCCTGAGTGACAGGGACTGATCAACTCGATGCCGCCGGCACCCAGGCACCTGTCCATAAGTGCAGGAAGGGCAAGGGCATCGAGCACAGGTGACAGGCGGCAGGGCCGTGAGAGCAGGCGGAGGCGGAGGGGGAACTGCGCGCCCAGCAAGGTGCCCGGGAGGCTGGGCCCCGGGACACTCCCCCTCCTCCAGGTCCCAGCTTCCCTCTGGCTCCCGGGCCAGGCTGCTGAGCTGAGAGACGGGAGCCTGGCCAGGTGCCTGGTCTGACGGGGCGGGTGCGGGAGCAGAGGACAGGGTGGCCCATGTGGGCGAGTGAGCGGGGATGCTTCTCCTGGGGCCCGGAGCCAGGCTGCACACTGTGCCTTCTCACGTGGTTTTAAGGCCCGTCTCTGGGTCTGTGGCCAGCGGTGACCTTCGGCACACGCTGCTCTGCTGCTGGGCCAGGTCCGAGGACCCGAGGGGCGAAGCCACACTGCTCGGAGCTCACTGGAGGGCCCTCGACCACGGGCCTTCCCGAGGCGCCGCGTTGGCTTCCCATCCTGCCCGCCTGTGTGCAGCGTCCTGGTGCCAGGGCCAGGTCTTCAGGGAGAAACCTGGACAAGAGCTCCGCCTCCGCCTTACCTGTAAAGCCGGTGGCGGGCGCTGGGAGGGAGGAGTCAGGCCTGGGCCTCAGAGCTCACCAGGCAACACTCTGCCTCCTCCCCAACCTGCCCGTCCCATCCTCATGCACACACCAGCCCAGGAGGACTGCTAGGGATGCAGAGAGAGTGTGTTGGGGGGGGGGGGGCAGGAGGGGCGCCCTGAGGGAGAAGTGGGGTGCGAGCAGTGTCCGGCCACGAGGCCAGGCAGTCAAGGCCTCTGCAGATCTGTGCGCGGGGCCTGAGGACAGCTGTCAGGACGCAGGCTGCGCTGGGAGCCACGGTGAGGCTCTTTCAACGGGGCTTTGACAGGTATCGCCGCCGGCCCCCCTCACCCTGCACGCCGTTACCGCGTGGCGAGTGCCTGCCTTGTCAGCCCAGCACGTGTCCCCCTCCCCCGTGACCGTCAGGGTGGCAGCCTCAACAGCGCGAGGCTAAGCAGGTTTCTACGTTGGTTGTTTATGTTCCCTGGGACTTGCCTTTCCTTGGCTCTCGCCCACTGCGGTGGGTGGGACAGTGAGCCCTCTCCCCGTCCCTGTCCCCCCGGAAACTCAGTGTGGGCTCCCTTGGGAAGAGGGTCTGCGTGGACGTGAGGTGAAGATGAGGCCTCGCTGGATCAGGAGGGCCCTTACACGAGGAGGACACGCAGCGGGAAGGTGGCCACGGGAACACGGGCCGGCCGCGGCAATGAGGCTGTGGGTAGCGCACTCACAGTGCCTGGCTGGGGGTGGGGAGGGGTCCTCCAGGGCCTCTGGAGGAAGCACGGCTGCCCATCCTTGGTTTTGGAGTTCTAGCTCCAGGGCTGTTAGAGCATAAACCTCTGTCGTTTTAAACACCAACTCTGAAGCCTCTTGTTACCGCAGCCAGAGGAGAACAGCACACTCACAGAAAGCTGCTCACCCCTGTGAGCCTGGCTTAGTGAATGAGCGTTGACCTATGAACCAGGGGGTCACGGTCCGATTCCCGGTCAGGGCAGCGCCCAGGATTTGGGCTCCATCCCCAGTGTGGGGCGTGCAGGAGGCAGCCGATCCATGATTCTCTCTCATCATTGATGTTTCTACGTATCTCTCTCCCTCTCCCTTCCTCTCTGACATTAATACAAAAGTATCTAAGAAGCTGCTCATCTATTGGCAAGAACGCAGCACACGATGAAATCGGCCTGTCAGAGTCAGTGGGACCTGCTGGGACACACCTGAGCTGAAAGCAGGACCAGCCCTGGCCTCACCTACCCGTGTGCTCCTGTTCGGTCCCACCGCCTCCCCACAGTCACCACCCAACCTCTGACCTCTGCTTCTACTCCTTTGCTTAAAAGGTTCCCTCACACACGAATTTGTTCCAGACAAGACCCTGTTTTGTTGTGTTTGCTTTTGAATTTCATCAAAACAGAACTCTACCCTCGGAGCCATCTGCGACCTGGGCCGGATCAGGGTTCTCAGGCTACTCCGTGCACTGCACACAGTGCAGGCCCTCACCTCTCACAGGTGTGTAACGACACCGTCACACAAGTTTCCCTGGGGCCACCACCTGTGCCCCTCCCAACGGGTGGACGTTGGGCTCTTCCCTGGCTCCCGCGGTGCTGGCTCTGTGCCACGGTCCTGGCGAGTGCACGGCAGCCTCCCCTCCCGCTAGGAGAGGAGCGGCTCATTAACTGAGGACAGGAATGTTCCGCCAACTCATTTTCCAACGTGGCTGTTTCCAACGTGCCTACACATCCTCCCGTTACAATGCACATCCTCCCGTAAAATGAGATCTATGTAATTCTGACTTCTCACAAATGAACACAACCGACCCATATTCGAGCATTTCCAGACTAAATGTAAAATCATGCTACTTGCAGCCCCGCTGATGTAACATCGATACCAGCTCAAACATAGGAGAGAGGTTCCCACGAGAAGGAACGGTCCGGAGTGCCGATCTGCATCTTACTTAGCAGCACAGGCCTGGGGACTAGCACACCAGGCCTGGGAAGATGAGACGAAGGGAGAAGACGGGAATCGAGCTGCGCCAGTCCCCGCGGGACGGGTGTGTGAGGAAGCGAGTGCACCTGCCTTGCTCGGGTCGCGCTCCTGTGCACGAGCGGGGACTGTGAGTTACAGCCCCGGCAGACGGAAGCACCTGCCTTAACATACCTGGCACATCTGCATCATTAAACAGTTCATCACTAGAGCGCAGCGAGTTTCCAGAGTCTTTCCTGGCACAACTCAGGCCCCAAATTGCTAACTATCTTTCTGTGCCTCTCACCCGTTTGCCTCTGCACCTGTTTGCCGCTGACAAATTTAAGACCCAGATCAAATCGAATGCTACCTGCGTGCAAGGCCCGCGTGGCCCCCGGCTACCGAGCTGGCTTTCGTCGGGAGCTCGGTTCCCGCCACAGGGGCAGTGAGGAGAGGGGACAGACCGCAGTGGGTGTGCACCGCGTGCGCCTGAGCAACCAGCTCAACCAGGCCCAACAGGCACTCAAATGGCTCGTGAATCCCTCCGCTGTTATTTTAACACCCGTCTCCTCACACCTGTCTGGAGTTCAGAGTCAGTTGCGTGATGTTTAATTGACACACTCTACAATTCTTTCGCAAATGAAAATTAATTACCGGACTCTGTTCTGCAAAGAGAGGTAACTGGTTCTTGCAAGAAGCAAAGGGCGTGTCTGACAGCAACGTGCCGCCATGCGCAGAGCGGGAGCCTGCTCGCTAGGGGCGGCCGCAGGCACCGGAGGGGTCACCGAGCCCTGCTCAGCCGTGACCAGGACTCCGAGTCCCAAAGGGCAGGCCCAGCTCCTCCCAGTTCCTCACACCTGGGAGGTCTACAGAATCGTAGGGGAAAGACTTCACAACGGGAGAAAGCCACAGGCGTGAGAAAGTCATACAAAGTCAGGCAAACGTGAAGATTATAAAGATTTTGTACCAAAACAACAAAGACTTTTCCTGGATTCTGGTCAATAACTGCTTCAGAACATCCACCAGGAATGCGGCTGCGGCCCTGCACCCCCTCCTTGTCCCCCCATCTGATGACCCCACAGTCATTGCTCTGCCTCACCCCAAAGTCAGCTCCCAGCAGCACTGCCTGCCCTGCCCCTCACTGGGATACCCCTCTCCTGACCCCTGACAGCAGCCTCTCCTCTGCGGACCACCTCCCGTCTCAGAGGCCTGCAAGCACCGTGTGCCCAGGCTCCGTCTGACCTGGGCTCTCCAGTCACACCCATCCCATGGCTGCAAGGGCCAGCTGCTCATACCTTCTGGAGCCTGGACCACCCCGCATCACCCCTCGCCCCCCAAGCCTCTTACCCCCACGGGCCCCACCTCGGCAGGACGCTCCGGCTCCTAGAAATGCTGGGCGTCACCCTTAGTGCACACTCTATACTTGAGCCTTCAGTTCATCCCATTGGTTCTACCTTCAAAACTACCCCAGAACCCTCCCTCTCCCTGCTCTCCTTGTCCAGGCCAACATAGTGCCTCCCTGCCCCGCCCCATCCACCTGTCACACCTGCTGGATGGACAGTGCAGGGAATGTCACCCCCGGCTCCCGGCTGCCGGCGGCTTCCTGACCCTCGGCACCTCGACTGTGTTCAGTGCTGGGAGTGCGCTGGCCTCACAGTTCCTGCAGGCCACCTGCCAAGCTAGTTCCAGCTCAGCCGGGTCCCCTCGCTGCTCCCTCTGCCCGAGCTCTCCCGCACGCCACTGTGTCGGAGGGCGGCTGCAGGCCCGCTCTCCACGGCACCCACCGGACCACCCGCCGCGTGTTCGCCATGGACCCTCAGGTCCCAGAACAACGCCTGGCGCTTAATAAATGCTGTTCAACAAACGGACCCATGCTGAGGGTTCCCACACCACGGGTTGTTTTCAAAGCTGGCCTCATCCGCATCACCCCTCTCTAACTTACAGATAAGGGGTCTGATTCCAACACGTGCACGATATTGAGCTGGGCCAGAATAACCGCAGTCGGAGGAAAACGTGGCCTCCACATCCCTGCGAGACAGACGGCCGTGCTTCCACGCCGCAGGGCGCCTCATCCTGCCGACGTAATGGTTATCACAGGGCGGCAAGAAATTAGGCAATCCAACACGATTTGGGAGCCATTCCCTGGGAGGAGTGAGAAAGTCTACCTCTTTTGAATAATTAGTCTTCATTTTTTTTGGCAACCCAAGTGATAGTCAACCCAGGCAATGAAAACATTAATTACGTAAATGAAAATGAGTAAAACAAATGGAGCTTAACTCTGAAATGAAGTCAGATGAAGACTGCTGTTTACGCCCGGCCTTTCTCTTATTCCTGTCAGAATAGTCACCTAAACGCTATTCTGCGGGCAGATCGCATCTGGCCCGAGCAGGCGGCAGGTGGAACGCGAATACTGCACCTGCAGCGTGATCATCGGGACTTGGCTTTTGCAGTGGCTGCACGTGGCCTCACGGTATTTACAGGCCTTTTCCACGTGGTCGCGCAGGTCTCTCCGCAAGACCCTTTCTTTGCAGTCGGCACGCACACATGGGAGTTCTTCAAACTGGCAGTCATTCCTCAAGTGCACCTGGGAGACAGACAATGCCAAGCTCTTAGTCGGCAGCGAACACCACGGGAAGCGCCGGTTTCGGCCTCCATGCCATCAGCTCCCTCAGAAACATTTCCATCTGCCCAGACCCGCTCTCCAGAGGACAGTGACACAGGGTCAGACACTGAGTCTCACACCCATTCAGTGGCTCCTCAAACGATACTGCTCTGAAGAATTAAGTCAACTTCTCTCCCTAGATAAATAAATGGTTATCTGCTAAGGACTTTGTTTTATTCTAATTCAAATATCCTTTCAGGATAAAATCTGTAATAATAAAAGGATAATATGCTAATTAGACCAGACATCTTCCAGACGTCCTTCCTGATGAAGCCAGGGCCGAGGGACGCAGCCCGGGTCCTGGGTGCCTGCTGGAGGAGGGAAGCCTGTGTCCCAGGTGCCGGAGGGAAGCTGGTGCCGGCAGCCAGGGGAAGGAAGGCCTGCCCTTGCACGAATTTCCGTGCATCGGGCCTCTAGTGATACTAATAAAACAACACAAGAAGTTATGTGGAATTTCATGGTAAAAATAAGAGGTTTTCATGGATCTTCCAAAATTAAAATTCGACACAGATTTCCTTCTGTTCTAGATAGGGTGGTGAGTGTACACCAGTGGGGAGTTCTGCTAATGGTGTCACAGAAGGGACATTTCAGGCCCACGTGGTCTGACTGCTCTCACGTGTGGCAGGTCTTAGATGAGGAACGCCAAGGTGCACACACACTGACCGGGGACGCTGTGGACACGGGACCCCTGCGACCTCGGTACTGACCAGCAGCTGTCCCAGGGCTAACTGCTCGGCACAGCCACGGCCGACGTTCCGGCAGTGGACCTGGAGAGCCAGGATCTCCCGCTTGCAGCAGTTATCCTTGAACACCTGCAACGAGGACAGCGTGAGAGGAGGGCAGCGTCCCTCATCGCCACAGGCTGCTGCTCTGGGCGATGCAAAGCCACTTTGAGAAAATCACACAAGCTGCCCTTACGTGGGCCACAAAGCATCGAGGGCCACCTTCCTCTCCCATGTCTGCAAGCAGAAGGGAGACGCTGCCCCACCAAGAGACACAGTTTATTTATTTAAACTTATTTTTATGATTTCAGAGAGGAAGGTAGAGGGGGAGAGAGAGAGAAACATCAATGATGAGAGAGAATCATGGATCGGCTGCCTCCTGCACACCCCATACTAGGGATCCAGCCCCCAACCTGGGCCCGGGGATTGAACCATGATGTCCTGGTTCATAGGTCGATACTCAACCATTGAGCCACGCTGGCTGGGTAGAGACACATTTAAAATAGCACAACCTTAATACTGTCTTTTACTAGAGAAGCCAAAGGGAACCAAGTCACACTGAACTCTGAGAGGACGCTGGGTTCACGCTGACACAGTCTCAGGCGGGCACACCAGCACCGAGTTCACGTTGGAACTCCGGACACTCCAGGAGCCGGCACCGTGAAGGTGGCCCCGGGAGCTCACTTCCGGTCAAGGCTCAAGGGCAGAGCCTGGGAGAACTTGATGCCTGGGTAGATCGCTGACTACAGAAACTACCATGAAAGGCAACATCTCACAATCGGTCAGTAAACCATTTATTTTGGTTCCTTCTCCAAAGAGTAAGTCACTGATAACTCATTTTTTAGCAAAAAAGGAGGCATTAGCCTGCTATTAAAAAATCCTTTTAAATATATATTGCAAAGTTGATCCAGTAATGAAAATGTTTCCCTTTCTAAATGAAAACTCTCCTTTCTTTAATCCTGTTTCCCCTTTAGAAAACAGGTATGCTCACTCCTAACAACATGGTTACCGTTAGCCCTTGGGCATTTAATTCTAAGAAACTCCCACATGCTAGCGCCGTCACAATGGAAAACCAGACAGGGAGCCTTTCTCAACCCCAGAGCAGAAAGGCAGAATTGACAGCTGTGAAGAGCTAAAAATAAACTAATTTAGAGTCAGATCTAATTCTCTACAAACAGGACTTTTAAAATAGGTCATAATTTAAGATTTGAAAGTCAAACAGGTGTTTTTAACTGGTAAGAAATAGCTTCCTTTTTGTGCCAAAGTTTCTGGAGCCATTTGAGTTTAACTTTATGATTGGAACATAAGAACACGAGAAGTACAGAGCTTCAGAGCTCAAGAGCTCAGACTGTGCGCTACAGCTGAGGATGCCGAGGGCCGCAGTGCCCTCCACTAGCGGCCTGACCTTGGTCTCCCAGGGCCCTGCCCCACGAGGACCCACGGCGTGACTCATCTCATTTATGCTTCTTCAACAAAACTAGCATTTTCCCTTCAGCTATCAATGCCATTGAAAAATAGGAATTGCCCTGGCCGGTTGCTCAGTGGTTAGGGCATCGGCCCAGGGACTAAAGGATCTCGGGTTCGATTCCTGGTCAAGGACATGTACCTGGGTTGCAGGTTCCATCCCCAGCCCCATCAGGGCACGTGCAGGAGGAAACCAAATGACGTGTCTCACATCAATGTTTCTCTCTCCCTCCCTCCATGGGAAAAAAATCCTTGGGTGAGGATTGAAAAAAAAAAAAAAGGAATAATACTGAATAATGAAATGAGAGACGAAGAGGCCCTCTCAGTCCGCTGTTTGTTGTTCCCACTTCTTCCCATTACGCAGTTAGATGCGTTAACAAGGTCAGCTACAATGTTAGGATAAGGAGAACAGGGTGATTTGTTTTTCTTAGAAACATTCCCTTCCCTGTTACCAACCAAAGTCTTTAGAAACAGGTAAAGGCTTAGAAAGAAAAGGTAGGAGAATCAAGATGGGGGTGTAGGTAAACGCCAGTACTCACCACCTCCCACAACCACATCAAAATTACAGCTAAAATACGGAACAACCATCATTCAGAACCACCTGAAAGCTGGCTGAATGGAAGTCCTACAACTAGAGAAGGAAAGAAGAAATAACCAGGCTGATGCTCCATCCACTGAGCCAAACCGGCTAGGGCTTGAAGGTTCTTTAAACCACAGAGAACACCTAGCTGGGCCGTAAGACACCTAGCTGGGTTAAAGACAAAGAGAGAATCTTAAAGGCAGCATTATATGAAATGCTGAAAGGTATCCTCTAAGAAGAGAAAGAAGAAGAGGAAGAGGAAGAGGAGATGAAAAATATGGACAATAAAATGGCAATAAATACATATCTATCAACAAGTGAACCTAAAAATCAAAATAAGCAAACAAGGACTCTAATGAATGAAATAAACTGGTGAATAAAAGAGAACCGAGGCCTGGAAGCATGGAACAGACCGACGGACCTCAGAGGGAAGGGGGGAGGGAGGGAAGAGACTAACCAAAGATCCTATATGCACATGCATTCCTCAAGGACACAGACAATAGGGTGGGGAAGGGGGGCGGGAACCAGGGAGAGGGGGCAGTGGGGGAAGGGGGACATCTGTAATACGCTAAACAATAAAGATTTAAAGAAAAAGAAAAGGAAAAAAGAAAGAAAAGGCAGATGGACACTTGGCTAATTCCACCTCAAAACTGCCGTGCGGGTCCCCAGCCGCCCTGCCCTGCCGGGGCACCTGCCAGCACCCGCAGCCGCTACTCCCCGCTGCAGAGGCCAGCCTGCCAGGCTGCAGCCACAATGTCATGGCCTGCATTTAAGGAACTATTAGGTTCATTAATCAAAACATCGGAACCACGGATTTTTATTGATATTTTAAGTACTTCAATGAGTCATTTCAAACTACAAGTGTGCCTGGCGGAGTGTGGCAGCACAGGGAGGGCCGCAGAGACACCGGGAGGGGTCGGGCCCGGGGGAAGCCCGTGGGTGAGCTGGCGCCTCTGGTGTCTGACGGGCGGCCCCGTGACACCTATGAGCCCCGCGCACAGGCCCGTGGGCAGGGAAGGGGCTGAAATCTCAGGATGCCGCGTGGGGGCCGGGAGCCAGCGGCGTCACGGCAGAACGGACCGAGCGCCGCACGCAAACCACCCCGCTCCCAACACAGGACAAAAAGTGACAAAGAACCCAGCGATACCTTATCTTTAACGATGCTCTCCTGACACGCAGTGCATTTCGGGCTGGCGGATTTTCTCAGCCTTTGGTAAAATCAGATGACTAAGTTAAAGTTCATTGACTGCCCTGACCAGTTTGGCTCAGTGGCTAGAGCGTCGGCCTGTGGACTGAAGGGTCCTGGGTTCGATTCCGGTCAAGGGCA